CTGCAAATTGGTACAACCACTCTGGAAAGCAGTATGGAGATTCCTCAGAAAACCTAGAATGGAATCATCATTTAACCCAGTTATCCCACTCCTTAGCATATACTCAAAAGACTTAAAATCAGCATACTATAGTGATATGGCCACATCAATGTTCACAGCAGCTCAATTCACAATAGGTATGCTATGGAACCAACCTAGGTGCCCTTCAACAGATGAATGAATAAAGAAAATGTGGTACACATACACAATGGAATAATACTCAGCCAAAAAGAAGAATGAAATTATGGCATTTGCCAGTAAATAGAGGGAACTGGAGACTATCATGCTAAGTGAAGAAAGGTAATCCCAAAAAACCAAACGCTGAATGTTCTCTCTGATATGTGGTCACTCCCAATAGGCAGGGTGTGTGTGTGGAGGTTCTTTGGATTGGTATGGTGGAGGTGGGGAGTAAGAAAAGGGATGGAAATGGGAAAGACATTAGAATGAATCGAACGTAACTTCTCTATGTTCAAATATGAATACATGACAACTGTAGATCCACATCATGCATGACCACAAGAACGGGAAGTTATACTCCATGTATGTATAATATGTCAAAATACATTCTCCTGTCATGTATAACTAAAAAGAACAAATTTTTAAAATGTGGGGAAAAAAAAGAATCCAGCTTAGAATGTAATGTGGATTCGATTTAAAAATTATTTCTGGGGGTTGTTACACTTGAATGCTTTTTGTTGGGAGTTGCTCTGGCTCCAAAAACTAACTTCCCTATCCCCTGAGAAGAGCTGTCCAATGGTGAGCCCTGCTGGCTCACATGATCCTTATCCACCAATCAGACTAGCCCTGCTGGCTCACATGATTCTTATCCACCAATCAGACTAGCCCTGCTGGCTCAAATGATCCTTACCTACCAATCAAAAAGTACCCCATGCCAACTGTCAAACCCTTCAACCATTAAACTGTCATAACTGTCAAACCACCCCCAGCTCTAGAAATATGCAGAGCTGTTCCTCAATAAACGGGTATTTTCTCCCACGATGAGCCTTGTTCGTTCTTTCACTTTTAAAATCATTTTTCTTTCTTTACTCATTTATTTTTGTGGTGTTGGGGATGGAACCCAGGGCCTCATGCACGCCTCTACAACCAATACTACAAATATTCTACAACCAAGCTACAACCCCAGCCCTTGAAATATTTTTAAAAAGAGAGGAATTTATCACTAGTATAGGATTTCAAATAAAGGCATAGGAGTATTTGCTAAGGTAGTCTTGAGTCATTTTATTTGACTGAAGACAAAATATAAAATGACACATAAAAACACAAAACATCCTATTTCTAGGTCCTGTTGTAGATGTGTAAAGGAAAGCACATGGGAAACAATGGACTGTATGATGCATAAGAGAAGAAAGGGAGGGAGAAAAAGGCAGAAAAAATGGAGGAGGAAAGGAAAGGAGAGGGGAGAAAAGAAGCAAAGGGGCAAAAAGAAAGGGGAAAGGGGGAGATAGGAAAGAGACTGTAGGGGAGCTAGGAGGACTCTGATGGGGGTCAGATGGCAATTAGTGTGTCTAAAATTTTCAAGAGACAAATGAAGGCTTTGATATCATAGAAGCTACAAGTAGAAGCAAGATGACATAGTTAAGGCATGTGTGATATTTGTGCCTTTCAAAAAGCAATAAAGAATATGAAAGTTAAATAATAACTGAAAACATTCCAATGTTGACAAGAAAGTACTAAGAAAAGTGCCACAGCAGTAGAGGAGCTAATAATACTTAAAGTTTCTAAACAACATGTCTATAATAAGAGTTTTAATCTATTGTTATTTAGTTCTAATGTAAATCCTGAGATTGTTATTGCTAATATCATTTTAAGTTTGAGGTCAGAAAGGATAAATAACAGGTTGAAGATCTCACATCTGGTGTTGGGGCCAAGGGCTGAATGTTGGCCTACTCCCTTAATTCACTCACTCACTCACTTATTCATTCATTCTCTCAAAGAGATATTTAGTTGGTACTACTGAGCTCCTATATTTTAATTACTGGGAGTAGCCAGTGAAGAAAAGAGACATTGTCATGTGAATGTGTGTGTTACTGGGGGTTGAACCCAGGGTCTCACACATTCTAGGCAAATGCTTTATCATTGAGCTACAACCCCAGCCCTAGACATGGTGTTTGATCTTAGGAATTTATTACCTAGTGAGAAAGATAAGTCAATAAACAACTAGGTAAGTATAAAAATTTTTTTTAAAATTTTATATCTTTATTTTATTTATTTTTGTATGTGGTGCTGAGGATTGAACCCAGTGTCTCATGTGTGCTAGGCACGTGCTCTACCATTGAGCCATAATCCCAGCCTGTACGTATAAAATTTGATAAATACTATGAACAAAATGGTCAGGGAGTAGTAAAAGAGAATTAAGTGGGGCACTACTAAATTAAACAACATGGTTAGCAAAGTCCAACTGAAATCCAAAGGATGGGAAAGGGCTGGCAGCAGATGAAGAGCAAAAGCATTCGTGGAAGAGGGAGAAAAGCATATGCAAAGACTCTGGGACAGGTCAACATAGCTGGGGTGCTATGGGTGAGGTGTATGGCGGCAAAAGGAGGTCCACAAGGCAGATCATGCCTTATAGGGTCACAGCATAGAGGCTGCTGCAGGGTGGGAGCTTGTGTCTTATTTTAAGTGCAATGGAAAGCACAGAATGGTTTTCAACAGACCATCTTTGGTCCTAAAAGACCACCCTGTTTTCTGTATAAATAATAGGCAGTAAGTAAGAATAATAGTATAGAGACCAGTAAATAGGCTTTTGCAGGATTCCAAGAGAGATGATGGTCATGTGGACATGGTGATAGCAATGGAGATGAAGGAAATGAACCTCAGAAGTGATCTGAGCTATATTTTGGTGGTAGAAACCAGAGGCCTTGCTGATAGACAGATGTAAGAGGTAACAGAGAGGGAAGCATGGAGGATGCTCTAAATCCTGTGCACAACTCTAAGTCTTGTACATAATTTGATTTTCATACCACATTTCTTAGATTAGAAAGCTATCTATATTTATACTAGTTTTTGAAATTACACCATATATTTTTATAATTAGTTCATGTGCTAAAATTTCCATTTGCACATTGCCAAGTTCACCTTCTGAATGTAACATCTACTCTTATGTTCACTATCTAGAAAGAGACATACCTTAAGGGTGATGTGGTGAAAAGAGAAGGGGTTTTCAGACCAAGCCATCTCAGGGTGAATCATAGCTTTGCCACTTTGCTGGGTATATATAAAGAAGTGATCATTCTGAGCCTCAGACTTTACATTTATAAGTAAGAACTCTCTCATAGTTTAGTTGTAAGAATTCAATAACTTATAAGTCCTGGCATGAAGTAGGAAGCCAATAAATGATAAACTCTTTCTTCTTATTCCCATCCCTTCCCTTTCTCCTTCAATATAGTATGAGAATGCCACAAGTTCTCAAAGTCCCTCTTTAAAAGAGTAAAGAGTACTCTGTACATATGAAGTATATGACTGAGTGCTATATTTAACATAACTGGGACACCCTGTAGGTTGGAACAGCAGATCTTTTTATGGGTTCTAACAGGTACTCTCTGAAAAGTTCTAACTCTGCAACAATCACCCTCACCTCCTGACTAGAAACACTCCCATATCAAACAGAGGACACTCAGTTTATTTGGATTTTTACATAAACAACAACAAAAAGATTTTAGTATGTCCAAATACAGTATGGGGCTATACTAATTTTTTTTTACTATCTATCTGAAATTCAAATTTAATTGTGCATTTTGTATTTTTATGGGCTAATCTAGCAACCCTATGACAAGGCAAGTCTCTACTAAGAATAAATTGGTCCAAGACTTTTTCTTCACAGTCCCATGTGATGCTAACTCTTCTCTGTATAAGTTATGTTTCCTACTGTCATGGTGCTATCCACTCCTACTTTCTATGCACATTTCATTCATCTCTTCTCATTCTTACCAATACGTGTATGAGTGTCTGACGTCTATTGAGTGGTACTACATTAGGTATGGAATTTTACTTAGTGGTTATAAAGATACTGGTGCAACCATGTGTGTGTGTGTGTGTGTGTGTGTGTGTGTATGTGTGTGTGTGTGTGTGTGTGTGTTTGTGGGTGGATATTGGGGGGGGTCTGTGCACCTGCTGTGTTAACCTTTTCACATGAAGACTATGCTAACAATACATCATTTTGAGAATATACTTTGAAAGTTTTCTACCAGTAGTGAATAAATTTGCATACACATCATTAAAAGTTATTTAGATACCACGCTAGTAGAAACAGTTATTGAATAAACTGAAAGAGAAAAGTTTTGAGTTCATTCAATAATCACTGTCACAACTTAAGAGCTGGAAATCCTTCATTTAACTTATATATCACATGAAGAAAAAAAAAAGAAAGTTTAGGCCACAGTTTTATCTAAGTATTCCTTCTTTGTATATATTTAAATGCTTCAATTTCTTGTTTCAGTACTAAGGAAAAAAATTAAAGGAAATATAAATCTACCTAATAATATGAGATACCCAGAGCAGTATTGGTATTTACTCTTGTTCCACAAAAAAGATAAGGAACGTGCTTGCTCCAGAATGAAAATCAACATGTGGAAGAAGTTTTGTATCAAAAAATTGTCAGGTGAACTAAACAAAGTATTTAATGGTATAGTTTATGTTCATCCTGGTATAAGCTAATTTTCTCACTGTGGGCAGGAAACAAACAAAAATCATAGATTTCTATCAGTCTGGGGACCATGTTTTGTTTCAGTAGCACTGATATAGAAGACTCCAGCATTTTATACATTGTACCTTCAATATCAAGACAAAAATGGAGGCCCTCATCTTTCAGGTCATTTTGCTCACCAAAGGTCCCCTTATTTCATTGAAATAAAGGCATAAATATTTTCTCCATCCCTAACAATCTCAATATCTAGCAAAGCAATAGTTGCCCCAATTTTAGAAAGAAGAGGATGGGTGCTTACTCTTCTTGACGTAAGTCATTGACGCTGCGGTCCAGTGAGATCATGTCACTTGCCACCATGTTAAATCCAAACTCTTTAATGCTGGCTTGAACTGCATGTTTGAATTCTGGTCCCAAAACCAATGGCTTGGCTTGTTCTCCAGGGCCACCAACCACTCCATGAGGCTCAGGTTCTTTGGGTTCAAAGTTACCAAGGATCCCAGGGCGTAGCACAGGATCACGATAGGTGAATGTCTGAGGCTTAAATGTGAGATACTGCCTCTGTATTATGTCTTTTTGGGAATCTCCTCCAGCATGGTGCTCCTGTTCATTTTTGGCCTTGTTTTTTCTTCTAATAGACTCTAAGTCCACTTCTACTCCTTCAACATGAGGCCATGGTACCACAGGTTTGAATCTGTCATCCCCAGGAGCTAATCCATTGCCTCCTCGGTTGGGCATGGGGTTATTGACATCTCTGTCTTCCTATACAAAAGGAGGGGGATATATAATGAGTACATGAAGGCAAAGTAGAGTTTATGATACAAATTTTCATGTTTAAAGAAAGGCTGAGGCGGCAATAAAAACAGTTTAAAATGTGAAATGTAAGCAGGCCATTTTGTTAGGTCTTCACATTATAAGATCTTTCTCAGGGTAGAATGAAACTACCAAGAAATAGACTATTTCCTCACCATACTATTCCAATATAAATGAATGGACACTTAAAAAAATCATCTCTATAAACTTAACTAACAAAGATCTCTTACTAATGTCAATATTGTTAAGGGTTAATACTGTTAAGGATTAGAGCAATGAGTTTCTAGGATCTTTGATTAAAACAGATACTTAATAGGTCATGTTGTATAGTAATAATTTTCACAGGCATCTGGTATATGGTAAATATAATCTTTAGTAAGTAATACAACCATATGATGGCAAAGGTATTAGAGGGATCTCATCCATCAGCTGGCTTCATACCCCAAATGGCAGAGGAACGAGGTGAAGAAATGTACTCAACAGGCCAGTTCAGTGTTTTCTATTCAGTGAGAGTTTAGCTGAATTCAGAACTATGAGAAAAACTCTAATAACTGTAACCAAGTCTTTTAAACCACCCCAAATCCCTAGTTTGCCCCATTCCAGGAGTGGCAGAGGTAAAAACAGGTTCTTCTTATAAGGATATTCATCAGGGGGCACCGCTCTTTTCTGTTTGGACCCTCTTCATCTATGTAGTTCTTTCAGTCAGAAATCCTGAGAGATTTTGTTAACTTATTAAGCCAGAACCATTCTTCTCCCCAAACAGTATTTCCCAGCATTCACATCACCTCAGTGGATTTAAAATACATACTAATGCCTGTGTTCTCCCTTCAGACACTGTGATTTAATTTGTCTGGGCATCCACTTAAATTACCTAATGGTTTACAGGAAGAAAACTATACATTAGAAGAATATGGACTATGATGATACATGAAACCAACCTATCCAGTTGTGAAATACATGCTATATCTAGGCTGGCCTGTGCTTATTTAAATATTTCCCAAATTCACCCACTTGAATAATAGAAGTTTTAATGGATTCAAACTTCGGCTTATCTTCTTCTAAAAGTTGTTTTGATTTTTCTTTAACTTAATGGTTCGTTGTCCAATATTAAACTATTGGTTTTCTTTAGGATTCTGTGAGAAGTCCATTTGCCATGCCATTCTCATTCCAGGTTACCTCATTCTCTTCTAAGCTTAGTGACCAGATTTATTCTGATGATTCCTACATCCACCTTTGCAGCCCACATAATAGTCCTGATCTCTAGACCTTATAGTCTACTGCTTCCTTAACATTTCTATTTATATGTCTCTGGGACCTAAATCTGAAACCCCCAAATCTGAACTTGACATTGACCTCACACCATATACCTGTTTCATTTACTGTCTTTCCCACATTTATATAATACGTCCATCATTACCAAAGAAGGCAGGGATTGACTAACTTTTTATGCAAAGGGTCAAGTAGTGAACATTTTGGCTTTGCAGACCAAAATTGTTTTTGGTCTCTGTTGCAATTATTCAAGTCTGTCATTGTAGTGTGCAAGCAGCCAGAGACAATATAAACTTCAATAGGACTTCATATATAGGATGGAAATGTAGCTCAGTGGTAGAGTACTTGCTTAGCATGTTGAAGGCCATGGGTTCAATTCCCAGTTCTAGAGGAAGGAAAAAACTTCATATACAAAGATAGATGGTGGGCTGGATTTGGCTTCCCAATCCCTGTACTAGATGATAAACTCTAGGGAAAGGTCTATGGTACACACCACTGCATTCCCAATGTTTATCTTGGCATATAAGGCTTCAGTGAAAATTTACTTAATAAATCAATGAATGAATTATAAAATTTCTGCTTTGATGGTAAGAGAGATTCTGAGAAGAAAGGGTAAAGATAAAGAATAGAGAATTTGAAATTAAAGAAAAGGGGTTGGGTCAGATAGACCCTTACGGCCAATACCTTTGAATTCATCAAGGATGTAACTCTATATTCTCTATACAGTATTATATCACTAAAAAGTGATATATAACAGCACCAGAAAAATTTAATCTGCTCACTTCTTAAAGCCCATAATCATTAAATCTGAAGGCAGAACCAAATTCTAGAAATGTCTGACTAACCCAAGTCAATTAAGAATAATCATATCAAATCTTATATGTTATATGGTTCAAAGAATGGCTATAAAGCAGTGTAATTCTTAGTTCCCCTGAGAAGGAAAACTACACACTTCCTTTTCCTGAGAGTAAATGAGAATCAGTAAATGCCTTTGTGACTCACTGGCACCATGAAACTTTCATAAGCAACAACTAATTTGCTGTATAGTCAAAATCAATGGATCACTGTTGAGTAGAAATGGAAGAAAATCATTAGATAATTTTCTGAGATTGTTAAGTTCAAAGAGATGGAAATGAACTGAAAAATAAACTCACTTATCACAGGTGGTAATATGAAATACCAGATAAAAGGCCAAACTAATCACTGTCCACCTTACAACTTAAAAAGTATCCCTACCTTGTATTCCCAAATCCTACTTATGTTTGCCATTTTTTCCATGATAGTCCTGCCTTGCAAGAAATTTTATGAATCCAGAGGATTTAGAAAAATGGTTTTTGGAGCAAATGACAGTAATGTAGGCCTGTTTGCATTTCAAATCATAGATGGATCTTAGAAAATTTTACTCATAATGATGAGTTTATATAGTCACATGATTTCTTGAGAAAATACAATTTAGCAAAAGTGGCCACTTTTGAACAATATGCATACTATTTGGTTATGCTTCTTCATAAGCCATAGAATTTAAAAGTAAAAGAAGACAAATTTCATTTTGTAATTTGAAGCCCACTTGATCAAAACCACCTTTAGTTAAGAAAAATCACATTAGCATCCTTTCTCTGGTTGCACTTACTCAACTAGGAGCAGAAGACCCAAGGGACAAAGAGAGCAGGAAGGGAGATTATAAAAATAAAGCAGTTGTTACAAGTTCAGAGGAAACAGGGTGTGATTATAGGCAGGACTCCTCACACTCTTGCCAACATGTGGCAGGACGTAGTAGAAAATATGGGGTGCTCAGGCCTCAGTACCCTAGTTTCTCTCTGTTTAACTATGGCTGGATTCTAAGCTATCCCATCTAATAGCCTGTGCTAAGCAAAAACCCAAATCTTGATCCTTTCAGAGCAGGGAGAGCTTCCTGCACTGGGAGTTGTAGCTCTGCTGGGGGGTGGGGTGGGGGAGGGGTCAAATGATCTGTGCTTAATCAGGGTTTAAGATGGATAAAGCCAAGATTAAACAGAGACCTTACCAGTCCTTGAATATATAGGATGTCATCCATTACAGGTAAGGACTCAATTTCCAAATATATTTTAAGACTCTTAAACTAGGAAGAGATTTAAGGCCACTTCCCAGTGTCAGTAACTCCGTTAGCAACTAGAGCAGAACTGAAAAAATGGAGAAAGTATGCTATCAGGTTAAGTAAATTTATGTAAATATAAAAATTCCACACAAGCTCTGGGTGTGGCTTAGTAAAATACCATGACATTTTGATAAGAAGAATTATCCACTGAGAGAAATATACTTTTTTTTTTTTTAAAGAGCCTAGCTAAGGTAAAAACTAATAAGAGTTAGTAGAATGAAGAAGAGCAGTTATCACTGTGACTACTCCACCCAAAGAAATCCAGGTCAGCAACTCTTACGCTATAAATTAGACTTAGCAGGGGGGCCACACTGAGTACTACAGTAAACCACATGAACCCAAACTTAACCCTAGGGACTAAAACATTAAGACTCCTGACTACAGAGAGCTGCCTATTATATAATAGCAATAGTTACTCTTTTTATTTTTCTCTGAAGACTTCTGATCCACTACAGAAACCAGTTATAAGTGGGTAAGTTAGTGTTGCTTAAAATATATACTGGACTTTAGCAGATAATTCCTAAAAGGGAATTTTGAGCCAATTAAATGTTACTCCTCTTTAATCACTGTCAAGAGCCATCAGTGGGCCGTGTGTGGACTACATTGGCATCACAGTCTAGTAAATAGGAGAATCTGGTGTCTGGGAACTTCCAGTGGAAATTTCCTCTGGCTAATACTGCCCAGACACATGTGACCTTATTCAAGCTCTGTCCCAGGCCCCACACAGCCCCAGAGATAGGGTGATTTACTATAGCCACATAGCCTCTCAGAGATGGATGTGACCTGCCAAGATGCCAATCAACCTGCTGACTGCAAGATATCATGAAGCAAGACTCCACCCCTGGAATCTATTTCCTGCCTTCAATATACCCCCTTAAATAAACCATGGGAGCTGTTTTTTAATTGTCTAGCTCCAGAGCCTGTGTGGGCTGGGCCTATCAGGGGCTCTACTGTAAAACTATTTTTCTGACTCTGTGTCTTTTATTCTTTACTAATTATTTCTGACTTATTTTTTTCCTGTGGCTTATACCCTCCTGGGCAGGAAAAAAGGACCCCCTGAGAGGCCTGGAGACCTCCCCATAAACCATATAAGCATAATCAAAACATAAAATGCAATATATAATGCAGATCTATCCTATATGATAGTGAATAATACAGAAATTAATGTCTTCCTAAAGTTGGTTAGATCACATTCTTAAACACATAGTCATTTGAGTAAAAGGAAGATTCCCATTATGTAATAGTCTTGTGCTAAATTTCATTATTATATAAGCAAGTAACCAATTTTTGGATTTCCATGCATACCATTTGGTATTCTTAAAAGGTATTCTCCATTGATACACCAATTTCTTGAAGATTTCTGTGTAACCTAGAGTAATTCTGATCAACTACAAAATACCTAGATATGACAAGCTTTAGATCTTTGGATCTTTCCCCACAGTTTTACCACAATTTCTTACTCATTGTAGGATAACATAGTTTTGTGACCTGACTGTTTAATGGGAAACAACCTTGAAAATACTATATATGGGTGCCCTTCAACAGATGAATGGATAAAGCAAATGTGGTATACATACACAATGGAATATTACTCAGCCATAAAGAAGAATGAAATTATAGCATTTGTCTGTAGATGGATGGAACTGGGAACTTCATGTTAATAATAAGCCAAAAAAAAAAAAAAAGCCCAATCTTCTCTCTGATATGTGGATACTGAGTCACAATAGGCAATGAGCAGGGTGGGGATAGGATGAAGGTTCACTGTATTGGACAGAGGGGAGTCAGGGGAGTGGAGGGGAAATGGGAAGGGGAAACACAGTAGAATGATTCGGACATAACTTTCCTATGTTCAAGTACGAATACACAACATGTTTAACTCCATATCATGTACAACCACAAGAATGGGAAGTTGTGTCAAAATACATTCTACTGTCATGTATACCTAAAAAGAGCAAATAAAAAAATTTTAAGTACTATATAATAAGTAGAAAAATATCAACTATTTTTGGCAATCAACTATTTGAGTTACTGCTGGGCATTGTGATGCACAACTATAATCCCCACAGCTCAAGAGGCTGAGACAGTAGGATTGCAAGTTCAAAGCTAGCCCCAGCAACTTAGCAAGGCCTACGCAACTTAGGGAGACTCTGCTTCAAATTAAAAAAATAAAAGGGTTGGGTATGTGGCTCAGTAGTTAAGTGACCATGGGTTCAATCTCTAGTACCCAAAACAAACAAACAAAAAAAAAACTACTTGAGTTACCAATGATAAACTCATGAAGGTACCAAAAGTTATCGACATTTTCTAATCCGTGGTCCAAACATCCTTCCCAGCCTCTCTATCTGGAGACTGAATTCACTTTTTAAGCATGAGACAGATATGCATAGTCATCCCAGGTATTTCTAATCCAACCAAGGCTTCTTCCTCCAGGTAAATGAGGAGGTTGGGATGCTTGGAGTAGAAGCCTTTGATCTCTTCTAAGCATTTAAAATCATCCATCTAAGAAACCACATAGGGGTTAAACAAGTTTCTTTCCTCCATTTAATATAGCATATACAAAATATTGACTCACCAGTTGCATATGTTTTGCCTTTGGATAATAATTATGCCCTAAGGTATCTCCAGTTTTAAATCAGCCAACGTCCAATTATCGTGGCCATCTGTATTTAAAGGAGATCTCTTAGTAAGTTTTTTAACATTTCATCTCCCTCATATATACTGGTAGTGGTAGTATACAAATTTTTTATGTGGAAGCAACTCTTCATTTAGGCTTTAGGCAACTCTTCATTAAGGAAAATCACTCTTTAACAAGTAAGAAATATTACTATTTTTTTTAACAGAACCCAATCCTAACAGATTGGTATGAATTTCTTTATAGGATATACATTATTTAAAGTGTTTCAGAGATAGGAGGTCATACTAACAAAAAACCTTTGGAAATATAAAACTATTCCAATTTCTGAGTTTTATCTTTGGAAACTCTAAATTATTCCAGTGATAGTTTAAAAGTAATTTTGGAAGTAATATTAGTAAGTACAGATAAAAAACTATTAAATTTGTTTAGAAGTTTATAGTATAATTCTGAGCAAACTTTAGTTCATCAACACTAAATAAAATACATGATTAAATTATTAAAATTATGCTAAAAATTACTTTTTAAAAACCATCTTGTATAGTATACATTTTAAAGGTAAGAGTAAACTGCAGATTCCTTATTAGTAAAAACTTTCAATTTTCAACCTAGAGGTTAGATTTCACACAAAATTCTTCTTCGTATTATTCTTATAATCTCTAATGTCCTATTCTGTAAATGTGAAATTCCCATTAAGTATACAGCAGTCCAAACCAGCACCTTAAACTCAGAATTCAGCTTCCAGAAACTTCTACCCTTCTCCCACAGTCCTGTGATTGTTTCTACCATTCTCTTCCTGTATTGCCTTAGCTGTTTCTCCCCAATCAGACTGAGAACTCTTGGAGCATAACGCATATTACTTATCTGTGTGCCCCAAGCACCTAGTACACAGTAGACACTCAATGCATGTTTGTTTAGAGACTGAGTACACAAAGAATATCTAGCTGTGGATCATCTCTTATTACCCTGCTGGAATATAAACTGACTTTGAATCTTTATATTATCATATGCTTGACTTGATTTAAGCTAGCATTTCAGAAATCCAAATGAGATAACTGAAAACATTACTTCCCTACACATCTAAAATTTGAATAATCCTTTTTTGTTAAAAAAAATTTCTTCTCTTCTTCAGATTTGGATAAATAATGTTTGCAAGTGAAATTTGGTGCTTCAGAGAAAATGAGTACTTTATTTAAACATGAGAAAGTAAATCTGCTGATGTTAGTCGTAGTTCTCTAGGCCAATTTATCTTGTAAATGGCTTTCTGCTAAATTTGGTGCTTGTTGTAAACAGTAATAGGATAGAGATTCTAAATCAGATCAGAAAAAAATTAGGTTATACTTCAAAGTAAATTAAATGAAGAAATATGCAAAGGGCCAAAATATAGGTTAATTTGTACAATAGGAAAATAAGAAATTGATTATCCTTTTATTTAAAAAAAACAAAACTTTTATTCATGAGACTATTTAATTGGCCCAGTTCAAAATATTATCATAGACAATCAAGAACTCTATGAAACACATTAAATTTAAAAATATTTATGAAATTGAAATAATTTTTATCTTTCAGAGACCTTATAAAAATTTATGCTTTAGCTAATGAACTGAATCATGAATATACTTGCAGGTTTTAAATTATTTCTTATTGTGCATATATAATATTAACTCTTTAGTTGGTTTAAACTTAATTTTAAGAATCACAAGAATCACATGAGTATTAAATGACAAATAAATCATCGTTTAGTATATTTCAGAAGCTGATGTAATAGTTACATTTGTCCAGGACTATGCTGTCATTTCAGTGCTAAGAGCACAAATTATCAAGACAGGGCTATAAATACAAAGAATATCAGTGCTATTTAAAAGCCCCATCTCCCACAGGTTAGTAAAAGGCAGATAATACTTCTTGCAATCATAAAAGGCTATAATGGTTAGATTTTCACTCCTCCATGTTTGGGAGCTAAGTAATTCCTGAATTAAAAAAAGAACTCCTAAGTAGACTTTTTTCATTTTATAGATAACATAACATATAATAAGTTACATAAAATGTTTTCAGAAAACTGTCAATACTTTACAATATATCTTACCAAAATATTCCTATAAAATGACCTGTCTAAAGACAAGAACGGTATTAGGAGAATAAAAAAATGAAAGCAGAGTATTGAGAAAAGGATTGTAAAATAAAAATCTGTGAAGATTTTTAAACACATGAATAATTTATGCATGAATATATATTATGTATGCACATGGAGACAGGAAATATACATTTAAAAACCAAATGGCTTGGAAGGATAAGAAATTAACCCAGCCAAATAGACCCTTCAAAAGAACAATAACAGCATTTCATCAGGTGGAGAAAGGAGGAACTACTTAAAAGTTGAGCTGATTGAAATGAGGTCACATCTGCTCCTCTCCTGCCCACTCACATGTTTTGGAACTTTGTTTTAGCTTGTGCCAATCAACTCTATTTTCTTACCTAGACCAGCTATGAATTTCTTTTCTACATCATCTTTAAAACATTTTAAAAGAGTCTTCCCAACATCAATCCCTGAAGACCACACTCAACACTTTTTCTTTTTTTAATCCAGAGGAGTGCTTATTTAGTCCTGTCCTTTGATTCTTCTTTCCGAGGTAATAATGAATTTTATAATTTAGTGTCGGCCAAAGTCAAGCAGACAGTTTAATTCTTAATCCTCCTTCACATCTGGCAAATCCAGTGAAACCACATAATGATTTTGAATCTTCCTGAAAACCATATAGGAAATTATGTCACCAACAGAATCATCAATAATTCTTTCGACATTAAAGGAAACATTTACTGAGTGAGAGTAGAATAAAGTAAAATGTGGCATTTGTGTTAGAAGAAAATGTTTAATACCCTCTTGAAAGTCAAAAGAGCAATGTCCTATTATCCCTCTAGGGGAGAAATTCAAGAATGCATACAGCACTCCCACATGAAGTGTTCCTATTTTATGTAGCTGGAAATGCATAAAACAGCTTTTTCTCTAGTGCTTCCTTGCTTTGCCCTGAAGCCTGGCTTTCATAACAGCTCATAAAAAAAAGTATTGCAATGTGGGACTCTACAATACTTACATTTTGATTGGTATAAGATAATCTTCTATCGCAAACCTGGAAAAAAAAAATCACCCCATGACAGAAAATACCTCTAAGTTTTCAAGGCAGATATACCATTTTGAAGCACAGACCAACATTTTGCTATCATGTCATGACTAGAAATCCACTGTAGGAGGGTTTGACAAACTGACATAATTATGTCAGCCAGAAAATTATCTGAAAGTAGATCAAAGTTATTCATGTAATAAACTTTTTGACATTTTTTTACTATTCAACTATCAACATGCCTGATCTCA